GCCCCCAGGGGGCCCCCTCGCGACAGTGGACTGCTGCTTCAAAAGCAGCACCTGGGACAATGCCGCTGCTGCAGGGCCCCCGGCCCCTTGTGAGTCCGCAGCAGGGGCCCCCCGTGCAGTCTGTGGGGGCCCCGCAGCAGCAGCCAGCTGCTGCTGCTGCTGCTGCTGCTGCTGCGCGCCCCGCCGAAGCAGCGGGCGGCCTGCCAGGTGAGCTGCTGCGGGGATCCGTCGCTCCCAGGTGGATTGTTTTATTTATTTTATTTTTATTTTATTTTTATTTTATTTTTATTTATTTCTTTTCTGTTTTTGTTTCAATTTAATTTGCTTTTTTTCCCTTGTGCTTCGTGCTGCAGCAAACAGGCCACAGCCGTCTCACCCCGCTTGGGAAGTGCCCCCAGCAGCTGCTGCTTTAGTGGGTGAGTTGCTGCTGCACCCACTGCTGCTGCTGCTGCTGCAGTTGCTGCTGCTGCTGCTGCTGTTGCTGTTGCTGCTGCTGCTGCTGCTGTTGCTGCTGTGCCATGGGCTTCTTTCTCTGTGTCTTTTCACTGAGTGTTCAGATGAAGTCGTGAAGGTTCCTTCAATGCTGAGCAAGTAGGCCAAACCCTAAACCCTAGTTCAAACGCTAAACCCTAGTTCAAACCCTAAACCCTAGCTCAAACCCCAAGCCCTAGCGCCAAACCCTAACTAAAACCCTACCACTCAGTGAACCCCAAAACGGCATCCCGAGCCTTAGCTCTGAAGATTAAACCCTAACTTCAAATCTCAAAACCCTAGGCCTAGCTCTAAACCCTAAACCCTAGCTCTAATGCCTCGGGAGCTACACAGCCCTTCGCGTGGCTTACAGGAAGCGCTGGCGGGCCGCATGCGCCTGCTGGTGCTGCTGCTGCTGCGGCCACTGCTGCTGTTTGTGCTGCTGCTGCTGTTGCTGCTGCTGCAGCATTTTGAACTCCACCCCAAGCCGCATGGCCGCGTGGACCCCAGAGCAACGCCGGCAAGTGCTGTCTCTTCAATCTGTAGGCGTTTAGGGTTTAGGGTTTAGGGTTTAGGGTTTAAGGCATGCAGCTGATTTCTGCAGCATCGCTGTCCTCACGTCAGCCGCAGTCCACTGTCCAGGGTTTAGGGTTTAGGGTTTAGTGTTTGCTGCAGTCGCTGCTGCTTCTTTGCTGCAGGCACTGCTGCGCCGGGGCTACCGCGTTGCTATGTGAGGCCTAGGGGGCCCCTTGGGGGCCCCTTGGGGGCCCCTGAGGGACCCCTAACTTTGGAGTGCCGCAGACTCTTGCATGGGGAGGGGCCATAAGGGTTTAAGGGCCAAAAGGGGGCCCCCTAGGGGCCTCCAGGGGACCCTCAGGGGCCCCCCAGAGTGTCTCAGGGCCGTAAAAACGCCAAGGGGCCCCTAGGGGCCTCTTGGGGGTCCCAGGGGGCCCCCTGGGAGGCCGCGTTTTGTCCCTGGGGGCCCCAGGGGGCCCCCCTCGCTGCTGCTGCTGCTGCGCGAGTTGCATGCGGAGTGGTGCAGCGAGTGGCGTTGCAGCGCATGCAGGACGGGGTGTACGTACACCTGGTTGGGGGGTTTGTTTGCGGCTTTGTGTCTCTTTGTGTCTTTTTGTGGTTTTCACGTTTTTGTTTGCTGCTGGAGAGTTTGCTGCAGCTAGCTGGCGAGGCCACCGGGTGTACAGACACCTGAACCCCACAAAACCCCACAACTGACCTGGGGCAGGGCTTTGGCCCAAAGACGAGAAAACGGACTCTAAACCCTAAACCCTAAACCCTAGATGCAGAGTCCTAAACCCTAGGCACGAAACACCGACTGCTCAAGGGATGCTGCGCGCGGCAAGCTAGGGCTAGGGTTTCAGAGTTTCCCTTTTAGGGTTTAGGGTTTGAGCTCTAGGGTTCAGGGTTTACTCTTTAAGCCCCTGCACGCAGGGGGCCCCAGCGGAGCCCCGGGCATATTTGCCTAAACAGAGGAGGGGACAAACCCCCAGGATGCGGAGCAGCTAAATTAGGGTTTAGGGTTTAGGTAGCTGCAGCGGGGCCACGCCTGCTGCTGTGTGCCTGCAGGCATGCTGCTGCAGGCATGCTGCTGCAGCTCTGCTGCCGCAGCTCTGCTGCTGCGGCTCTGCTGCTGCAGCTCTGCTTCAGCAGCAGCACTGCTGAAGCAGCAGAGCTGCAGCAGCAGAGCTGCAGCAGGGGCCCCGAGAGCTAAGGTGTCTAGCTGCCGCCGCAGGGAGCCTCGCTGGGGGCCCCTGGGGGCCCAAGATGGGCGCAGTTGGCTAAGAGCTAACTATATAGGCCAAGAGGGAATATTACTATTTTTCAATGTTTTAAAGTTCTTAAAAACTGGAAGAGTTGGCGAAGAATGCATGTTGTGTTTGTTGGAGTTTGGTGGCTTTGGGTGGCGCGGTTTGGAGTGTATGTACGGCTGAGCCGCCGTTGCGGCGTCACTGCAGCTCGCGCGGGAAGCCGCGGGAAAGCCCAAAAAGAGTCAAGAGCTTCTTTGCATGCAAGTTTTGAGAAAAGTTTGGAGTTTGGATTTGCTGCAGCAGCAGCAAACTGCAGGTTCGACCTGCTGCAGCAGCAGCGGCGGTGTGCCTGCGCACGTTGCTCGGCGGGGTGGGTGTCAGTGCCTCGGGTCGGGGGGGGAGTTTGCGGAATTGGATTTAAACTGGAAAGTAAATGCGAATTTTAAATTTTAAAAAAGAAATAAAAGATAAAAAATAGATTTAAAACTATCCGCAAGCAGGAAAGGCTGGAGCTGCGTCCGGGCTTCGGGGCTGCTGCTGGCAGCCCCAGAGCCCGGCGCGAGTTGGCTCTTTCGGTTTTTGCTTCCTTGCAAGTTGCTGCTGCTTTTTGCAAAAGAAAAGTTTTCCTTTTTCGCGAAAGTCTTGTCGATTTGTTGGTTTTTGTTTTTGTTTTGTTGGGAGGTCCGCTGTACATACACCACACAGCCGCAAGGCAGCAGCGAGCAGCGCGCGGAGGCTTGCTGCTGCTGCTGCTGCTGCTGCTCTCTTCGCTGCTCCAGCAGCTCTCTTGGCCATTGAGTTGTCTATATCTTTTATTTCCATTTCTTTGTCCAATTTTTATTTTCTGCAGAGCCCGCGAGCTCTCGGGGTCCGCGTAGATTGTCTGCGACCGCGAACCCTCAACCCGAACCCCAAACCCCAAACCCTAAACCCTAAACCCTAAACGCTAAACCGCTGTTGCTGCGGAGTGCATGCGCCTGGCTGCTGCTGCTTGCCGGCACCATGGGCGCATCAGCGGCTCCCGTGGAGTGTACGTACACCTCGTACCTTCACCGCCTCATTCTCGTCTATCAACTCATAAGTCAAGACGAGGCCCTTCCGGGTCTTTTGAGTGCGCACGGGGGCCCCCAGGCCTCGGGGGCCCCCCTGGGGGCCCCTCTGCAGCAGCAGGGGCCCCCCTGCCGCCTGTGCGACTCTCAGTTGCATGCGCGGGCCGCTGCGGACGTTTCGGCCCTGAAGGCCCACCTCCTGTCGCCGGCAGCGGGAGCCGCTGCTGCGCCTGCTGCCCCTCCCGCTGCAGCAGCAGCAGCAGCAGCAGACGGCGGCGAGAGCGCCGCTGCTGCTGCTGCGAGCTGGAGGCCGAAGGAGGACGCGGGGGGCCCCCCTGCGGCGGGCCCCGAGGGCCCGCTGAGCACGGCTTGCCCGAGCACTGCTGCGAGCACAACTGACGAGGTTTCCGGGGAGTCTGAGCGTGCGGCGCCCTTGGAGTCCTCTGCTGCAGCAGCAGCAGCAGCAGCAGCAGC